CAACTCCCGTCTGTCTCCTGCAGGACCCGGCAGAGCACTGCAATCTGTCACTCCACTCTCGGGCACCGTCCCAGCTATAAAAGCAACGCCGGGCCACACGGGGACCCTAACACCACCTTGTAAGACTCCGGCTCGCCGAAGGACAAGCATTCCATGGCCCCATCTACTTACAAGAGGTCCCGCCTCGCCGTCTTGCAGACAATACGCAGGAAGCGCCAGCCGCCGCCGCCCACGTATACACCGAACGCCGCCGCCGCGCTCCAGGTCCACGGAAGCCCCAGCAGCCAGAGGAGCGCCAGCGAGGCCACCGAGGCCGTCCCCGCTCCCGGAGCCCGCATCCTGCAGAGCACACAGCTGAGGCAGCGGACCCCGCCCCCAGCCTGGCCCCGGCCCCGCCCAGGCAGCGTCCCAGTCCTTGACGACACTGCGTTCCCTCAGGCTGTCGCCTAAACCGGAACGCTTTGACTAAGAACCAGGCCCCGTCCCCACTGCTTGAGTCGGGGTCCAGGGTAGCCTTAACCCAACCCGCCTCAAGGTCTGGGATTGGACACCTCGCTGTCAATCATTGCCATCCGATCCTCCCCCCCCCCCCCCCAGCCCCAGAATTTCTACTCCGCCCCACGCCTTGACCACGTGCCTGGACACCAACACCGCCAGGCTCCGCCCCTCACCATTAGACCACACCCCCATCTTATGACTCTGTTTCCGCCCACAAGTGAGAGCCTCAAATCAAAGCCCGGCAACCTGATCGAGGCTCCTCCTCCAGAGGAGGCCTTGGCTTCGCCCCGACGTCGCACGCGTGCTCTGCCTCACGTCCCTCCTACAGGTGAGGTCTATGGTCCCGCCCACAGTCCCGAACGCACCCGCCCTGAGGCAGGCCCCGCCCCCTACAGCGTCCTGTGACCCCGCCCAGCTAGGGCGGGGGGCCCGCCGAGAGCCCCTCGCTTAGTGACATTCGGGACCCGGATTCTACCTGGGCTTCCCGCGCCGCCGCCAAGCCTTGTCAGCCGCGGCTCACGGGAAAGTCGGGTCAGTGCGGACCACCCAGCGCCTAGCTCCGCCCCGAACCCCTCTTCCCTGCCACCTAACGCTCCCAGCCCCTCACCCCGCTCCGCACAGGCCGACCCCCTTCCGGAGGCCTGGACCATAGAGAGGACGCGCGGGCCAGATAGTCTGTAGCCAACGAGACTCGCAAGCTAGAGCGGCCTGCCCAAGCTACCTACCAATCTCCACGGCAACAAAGTGCGGAGAGGGGGGAAGGGGGGGTCGTCCTTGCGGCGAGGAAAACACGCAGGTGCTGAGGGCGGGGCCAAGGCTCTAGGGGGCGTGGCTCCGGTGCGCATCAACACAGCTGGTTTCCGAGATCCCTTCCCCGGAGCCTCAGGCCCCAGCTCCCGCCCAGGACCTGCCGGTGCTGGAGCCTACTTGATCCAGCTTGTTTTAGATCCAAGCCCCGAGGCTTCTCCGTATTCCAGGTTCCCCGAGAGTCGAAATTCACTTCCTGGGGGCTACAGAGGCCTCAGTCTTGGAGATAAGGAGACTCCACATCTCAATTCTACCTACCTCTGCGAAACTTAACAAGTCACACCCCAGAATCCCAGGGCGTGTCAAGCACACATCCGGTCCCCATCTTTTTTTTTTTTTTTGACACAGATCCCCTTGAAGCTCTGTTGCACCCCAGGATCCCTTATTACTCCTCAGGTGCAGGAGCTCCCCTCGAGCCCTGTTTGCACCCCAAAGTCCTAAGCTCTCATCCAGAGGCGCCACCATCCCTAGCTTCTCGCTGGGGTACCCCCGTCCTGCTGTCAGGCTGACCTGCTCAGGCTTGCAGACCCCCAGGCCTTGCTGTTCCCTCGCGGGTCCTCACTGAAGCTACCACAGGAGGCCAGGACAGGGAACTTCTGAGTTCTTCACAGGATGAGCCCTTGGCAGCGCCCTGGGCGCTTCTCACAGCACAGCGGCCCTACGTGCCTCTGGTCTGTCCCTCCCTCCCAGCCACCCTCCCACGCCCCCTGCCCACCCTGCGGGTTTACTTGTTTTCTGCCCCGCTTGGCCGACCTTCCCCAGCTCTCCTTGGGAGAAAGCCAGTCGGGACGGCTTCCAGAGCCACTCAAAGGCCAAGGCTGGGCAGGCGCAGCCCCACCCCCGCTCGCAGCTGCCATTGGTCTCAGGGAGGTGGGTGGGATGGAGGGCTGTTGAAGATCCCGAACACTGGCCCAGGGAGCCAGGGGTCAACACTGACAAGTCTCTAGAGCTGCCATCTCTCCCTCTATCCCTGTCGCCCTATTTTACAGGTAAAGACCCAGAGTGCTGCCCCGTGCCCACCAGCTTAGGTCTGGGATTCAGCCCTGCTGCCTACCCTCCTTTCTCTTGGCCTCCTCCTGTTTCCATATTCCTGGAACATCTCCTGTGCCCTTTGCCCCACTTCCTCCTCTCACCATCCCGTGCCTCCCTCCCCCTTCCTCTTCTCCCCTCCTCGTCTTCTTCTACTCTGTAGAGCACTGAGTGTAAGCATCTGACTCTTGACCCTCACCGAATCCCCACACCTGCTCCCCAGTCTTCAGCCCTAAAATCTGAAAGGCTGAGAACAGGCTGGTGAGTTTGGTCCGCGGGAAGCACATGGCGGAAGAGAACTCCCAGCAGCTATTTTCTGACTTCCCCACATAGTAACACACCCGATAGATAGACAGACAGACAGATGGATGGATGAATAGGTAGGTAGGTAGGTAGGTAGATAGATAGATAGATAGATAGATAGATAGATAGATAGATAGGATGATAGATGGATGGATGAATAGGTAGGTAGGTAGATAGATAGATAGATAGGATGATAGATGGATGGATGGATGGATAGATGGGCAAACAAACAAATAAGAAAAATAAATAAAAATAAAGGCTGGTGGCTTGCCTCTAATTCTGGTGTTAGAGAGAGTGAGGAAGGAGGCTTTGAGGTTGAGATGGCCTGGACTAGGATCTAGAAAGCCCCCGTATGGAAGAGCTGAAGACGTGGAAGAAGGGTTCAGCTGGTAGCATGCTTGCCTAGCGCAGGAAGCCCTGCCTCTCATGCCCAGTGACCTTACCCCATAAATAAGGCAGGCACACAGCAAGTCCAACCTTACCCTTGTCTGCATAAGGAGCTGAGACTACAGTGGGTACAGAGACCCTGAGAAGGACAGTGGTGGACAGCCGTGAAGTGACAGCCGCAGCAGACACACCTTCAGAGTGACTGTCCTTTCTGATGTTACCTGCTGGGAACTGACGGGGCAAACTGAGCATGTGCAGGGCTGAAGAGAGAGCTCAGCAGCTAAGGCGTTTGCCACCAAGGCTGACGACCTGAGTTCAATCCCCAGGACATGGTGGAAGTAGACAGCCAACTGCTGCCCATTGTCTTCTGTTTTCCACTAGTGCACTGCGGCATGTGTGACTCCTCCCCCAACAAGTGCTAAAGCAAAACAAAAGTCAACTAAACCTGTCTAGAGTGGGTTCCTGAGTAAATCCCGAGCCTTAGGCCTTCGCCTTGGGAGTGACTCCTGTGTTCTTGCATCTTGCAGCAGACAACAAGCGTTTGTCCAAACTCCTGCCCTTTCTTGTGCTTGTTCTGTCTTTGCAGAAACCAGGATCAGGGTCAACTCTGGCTACACCCATACCAATCTGGGTTACAAAAGACCCTTTCTCAAAAACAACAGCAAAGAGCCGGGCGGTGGTGGCGCACGCCTTTAATCCCAGCACTCGGGAGGCAGAGGCAGGCGGATCTCTGTGAGTTCGAGGCCAGCCTGGTCTACAAGAGCTAGTTCCAGGACAGGAACCAAAAGCTACGGAGAAACCCTGTCTCAAAAAATCAAAAAAAAAAAAAAAAAAAAAAAAAAAAAAACAACAGCAAAGGTTTCTTTTTTGTTGCTTTTGGTTTTTTTGTTTGCTTGCTTTTTTTCCCCCTTCTAGACAGGGTTTCTCTGTGTAGTCCTAGCTGTCCAGGAGCTCTCTCAGTAGACTAGGCTGGCCTTGAACTCATAGAGATCCACCTGCCTCTGCCTCCCAAATGCTGAGATTAAAGGCATGCGCCACCATGCCCGTCCAAGAGAGTTTTCTTTGTATTTCGTAGGAGCGTGTCCGAGTACAGAGCACAGACCGCAGCCACCTTGAGTGACACACTCCCCTTGGAAGAGTTTATGTGGATTTTGATAATTAAGAGGGGTGCTGGAGGGGCTGGAGAGATGGCTCAGTGGTTAAGAGCATTGCCTGCTCTTCCAAAGATTCTGAGTTTAATTCCCGGCAACCACATGGTGGCTCACAACCATCTGTAATGAGGTCTGGTGCCCTTTTCTGGCCTGTAGACATACACACAGACAGAATATTGTTTGCATAATAAATATTTTTTAAAAATAGAGGGGTGCTGGAAACCTCAGAATTCCCAGATGTAGTCTGGGTGATAAGAGGGGACAGAAAAGGGAGAAGCCTGCAGTATTTATTTCAGTTTTTACCAAATTCCTGCTTAGAAAGAATTGCTGGAGTTATTTCAAGCACATTCCTTCATTACTGGAGTTGATCGTTTTGTTTGCTTTCCTATGTAGCAGGTGATGAAAGCCAGGCCCTGAATCAGGCATCCGACTTTCACTGGGGACTCAGCCACGCCCCCAGCCCCTCATGGGGGGGGGGGGGGGACTCTAGGCAGGGGCTCCACCCCAAGCCACTCCCCAGTCCCTCTCATTTTTTTTGTCACATATCCCAGGGTGTGCTGGAACTTTTAGTGATCCCCCCCTGTCTCAGTGCTGGGCTCACAGACTCTGTTTTGCAAGCATCTTGGCTCTGTTAAAGGTCCACGAGGCTTCACCACCTCAAATCAATGCTGGCCCTGTACAGGAGGATTAGCAGCTAATCTGGTTTCTGAGGTTCTTATTCCTGGGGCTAGGGGAACCCAGGAAGAAGGCTCCGGGCCTTATCCCTCTCCCGTGTGTCTCCCCACCCCCACCCCCGGTGTTTCCAGCCCCGTACACACTGCTACCATGGCATCCCTCTTCTCTGGCCGCATTTTGATAAGAAACAACAGCGACCAGGATGAGGTGGAGACGGAAGCCGAGCTGAGCCGCAGGCTAGAGAACCGTCTGGTGCTGCTGTTCTTCAGCACTGGGTCCTGTCCACAGTGCCAGGCCTTTGCCCCTGTTCTCAAAGACTTCTTCGTGCGACTCACTGACGAGTTCTACGTGCTGCGGGCGGCACAGCTGGCCCTGATCTATGTGTCCCAGGACCCCACGGAGGAGCAACAGCTCCTGTTCCTCAGGGGCATGCCTGAGAAGTGGCTTTTCTTGCCGTTCCATGACGACCTGAGGAGGTGAGACCCCGGGGAAGGCCAGGAGGAGGGCTTCCTGGAGAAGCCGAGTGTTTACTGGCCCAGCACTAGAAGCTGGTGCAGAAGGCTGGGGAGGGGGAAGTCCATTCCTCTTTCAGCACAGCCCACTGAACAGGATATGACAACTCATGATGGCAGCTAGAGACAGTCACAGGAGCCTGCCATCTCACTACTTGGAGCTGAGGCAGGAGGACTACTACAAGTCCAAGGCCAGCTCTAAACACAAGAGGTGGGGACTGTAGCTCAGTTATTGGATGCTTGTAACGGCATCCATGAAGCCGTAGTCCTGTTCACAGCATTGCATAAACCAGATGTGGGGTCACATCTGCATTCTCAACCCTGGAAGGTTGAGGCAGGACTCTCAGAACTTTGAGGACAGTCTGAACTATGTAGGGTGACCCTGCCCCCAAACTAACAAAGCCGGAAACATAAAAATAAGAGAGAGGAACCGCCTCCAGGATCTATAAGACACAAGGAGGTGTGACTCGAAGAAGGTCTCTGAGCGGGTACCACAGCCCCTTGGAAATGACACACAGTCCAGGAGAAATGAGTCACCTCACTCAGGGAGGATGCGAGCCATGGAAGGTGGTAGAGCCAGGGAGGAGAAGTAGCCACAGTTTTTTTTTATTTGGTCTTGGTTTTTGGTTTTTGGAGACAAGGTTTCTCTGTGTATCTCTGGCTGTTCTGGAACTCCATCTGTAGACCAGGCTGACCTCGAACTCAGATCTGCCTGCCTCTGCTTCCCAAGTGCTGGGATTGAAGGCGTGTGCCACCACCGTCACTGGGCAAGGAGTCACAGTTTGTGAGCAGATAGAGGACTATAGAGCTGGTCTACTTTAGAGTTTCCAGTTTCCTGTTTACAGAGAGCTACTGTGTGACAGGATCTTATGTAGCCCTCCCAAGTGCTGGGTGACTGTCGCCACACCAGGCACCTTCACTCTGTAGACCAGGCTGGCCTCGAACTCACAGAGCTCCACCTGTCTCTGCCTTCCTAGTGCTGGGATTAAAGGTGTGCGCCACCACCGCCCGGTAAGTCCTTATCCTTTCACAAATAATCGACCCTCTGAGCCACCTTCTACCTTTTCTTGGTGTTCTGACTTGGAACTCACAGCAATTCCCCTGCCTCAGCTTCCTAAGTGCTGATGACAAGCACGCATCACTGCACCCAACTTCTCATCTGTGCTGCCAGTCATAAGAATCAGAGGCCCTGAGTCCCCTCCCAGTTCTGAGAGACTCAGTGTAGCAGCAGCAGCCACCCAGTCCCCTGCTCCTGGAGCCGCCACCTTCCGTATGGCCCTGACTGAGCCTCCTCAGGGCTGGTGTCTGCACTGAGTCGGGGAAGGTGAGCCGTAGAGTCTGCAATGAGCAGCTGACTACCTGGCCTTTTGCCCATTTCACTGATTTTCTTGCACAGATTTAAGGATCTGGTCATGAGGATCCCATTCCTCATGTCATTGTGAGGGTTGGGATACCCACTCACTGCCCTGTGCAACCAAGGGCTTCCACCCTCCCCGCCATGAGCAGCATTTCTGTCCCCAGGGAAGAAATAACAAGCTATAAATGTCATAGAGGAACCTGCTATATAGGGCAAAGTTTACTCAACAGACCCTGATAAGATACACAAGCCTCTCAAACCTACATTTTTTTGGGGGGGGGGGAAGGCTGAGGTGGGAGGATCAGGAATTTGAGGCCCACCTTGCTACATAGACCCTGGGGGTGACAGAAAAACAAGCTGGAGAGAAGGCTTAGAGGTCAAGAGCACCTGCTCATACAGAGAACCTGTATTCGGTTCCCAGCACCCACACAGGGGCTCAAGCCATCTGTAACTCCGGTTCTGGGACTCTGGCACCCTATCCTGATATCTGCCTCCTAAATTCTGGAATTAGAGTGCTTCATAATTCATAATTGCTCAACAAAAGCCACACTGCCTGTATAAACACGAGGCCAGCTTGGGCCTCAAAAACCAGTAACAAAAACTAACCAGGAATCACGGATTAAGAACCTCGGTTGAGAGCTGGGCAGCGGTGGTGCACGTTCTTAGTCCCAGCACTGGGTTGCAGAGGCAGATGATCTCTGAGTTGGAGGCCAGCCTGGTCTACAGACATCCAGGGCATTCATTCAGGGCTACACAGAGAAACCCTGTCCCCCGCCCCCTAAAAAAGGAAAGAACCTCAGAACCCTTACCTCAGAAGCTCGGCTGAGTTGTCTGTGGTCACATTTGCCTTTAATCCAACAGGCTGATTTCTGTGAGATTTCAGTCTGTATGGTTTCATAATGAGAATCTATGCTGGCCTTCTGCTCTCTATGAGTGCGGCACGGATGACTTCTGGTCTTGCTGCGAGTGGGGTCCAGACTGCAGTTCAAATGTAGCCCTACGGAGAGGCCCGACCTTGGCCCAGTACAACATTATTTGATAGGTTTTCGAAGTATGCATTCATTCATTCGGCACACATTTCCGGAACATTCCTCAGGTGGCCTGGCTGTTTGAAATCCCTGCCCCCAGGGCTTCACAGTGGCAGCGGGAAAACAATACAGTACATACAACAGGTGGACACCAAAAGGAAGGAGGCAGCAAGGGGAAGGTGCTAGGAGCCAGTGCCTAGGCCCTATGGAGCCAGCGGGTCCTCGGGCGCCCTGACGGCCATGGGGACAGTGCGCGCACCGGGAGCTGAAGAGTCGCAAGGGCACTAATACGCGTTCCTCACAGGGACCTCGGGCGCCGGTTTTCTGTTCGTCGTTTGCCGGCTGTCGTGGTGCTCAAGCCAAGCGGGGACGTGCTGACGAGCGATGCGACCGACGAGATCCAGCGCCTGGGACCTGCCTGCTTCGCCAATTGGCAGGAGGCGGCGGAGCTGCTGGACCGCAGCTTCCTGCAGCCCGAGGACCTGGATGAGCCCGCGCCACGCAGCATCACCGAGCCCCTGCGCCGTTGCAAGTACCGCGTGGATCGGGATCTGGGCCGGGGCCGGAGCGGCCACGACTCTGGTCACCCCCAGGGAGATGCAGGTGCAAGGGCAGAGCTCTGGTGATCCCCCAGAGGTACCCGGGTACAGCGGCTGGGCTCCGATGACCGCCTTGGGGACCAGGGTGCAGGGGCAGGGCTCTGGTGACCCCCAGGGGGATGAGGGTACAAGGGCAGAGGTCTGGTGACCCCCATGGGGGACCGGGATGCAGGGGCGGGGTTCCGATTAGCCTTCTCCTCCTGTCTGTTCAGAATGTTCCCTAGACAGCAGGGCAGATTGACCTTGAACTCACCATTCTCCTGCCTCAGTTTAAGGAGTAACGGGAATGGCAGTCAAAGAGATACAAGTTTCCTCTTCCAGGCCTTCCCTAGACTTTGAAAGAACGTGGGGATCACCCATGAACAGTTCCTGGACTCGGTACGCGGAGCTTAGCGCATGCTAAGCAAGCTTTCTACCCTTAGAATCCCAGCCTCAAAACCCCTGTCAAAACAAACAAAAACCACAGCCCGGCTTTGTGGTGCAGGCCTGTCGTTTGGTGCTCTGGACTCAGATGCGGAGCCGGCGAGATGGCTCAGTGAGGCATGGCGCTTGCTGTCAAGACTGACAGCCCGATTCCAATCCCTGGAACACCCATAGCGGAAGGGAGAACCGACTCCCGCAAGTTGTTGACCTCTGCAAGCTCATGGTGGCACGTGTACGCCCACACACTTACAAAAAAGTACATCGAACAAAAATACTATTTTGAGTTTTGTGCAAAACAACAAAACATAAGGGGAAAAAAACCAAAGAGGTGTGCGGAAGAAGGATCTGGAGTTCAAGGCTGTTTTCAGCTATCTAGGTTGGCCTGGGCTACAGGAGACCAGGTCGCAAACAAGGGAACCTCGGTCTAGCGCCACTCCTCGGGACAGGCATCGCCCTCTGCAGAAGGGCCGAGACCCATCCGCCAGAGGTTTTGCTTTAACCTACGCTACCCCCTGGCGGTCGAACTGGAATGGTGCGTGCAAATGAGAGGAATGTAATATTTTAAAATTTCAGCTCCCGCATCAAGCGCGTCCACAGAAGCTGGCAAGCCAGACTTTCTGGGGGCAAGAAGCTCACCCGCCTCCATTCCCAACTTGGAGGAGTTGGGGAAACTGAGGCTTAAGACCAGATAAGGATGTCTGCTGGCCACCAAGCCTGACCGCCTGAACCTGATCCCGGAAACCACATAGGGCAAGGAAAGAGTCTACTCTTAAGTTGTCTCTTAATTTCCACCTGTGTCCCCCACAACAACTAATAAATGGAATTTGTAAATTATTATGATTATTATTTTGGTTTTCCAAGACAGGGTTTCCCTGTGTAACCCTGGCTGTCCTGGAACTCTCTCTGTAGACCAGGCTGGCCTCGAACTGGCAGAGATCTGCCTGTCTCTGCTTCCCAAGTGCTAGGATTAAAGGCATGCACCATCACCACCCACCTGAAATTTTAAAATATTAATTAAAAAAGAAAATTAGAGAGGCTGGAGAGATGGCTCAGCGATTAAAAGCACTGACTGCTCCTCCAGAGGACCAGGGTTCAATTCCCAGCAACCACATGGCAGCTCACAACTGTCTGTGACTCCAGTTCCATGGGATCCAACACCCTCACACAGACATATATGAAGACAAAACACCAATGCATATAAAATAAATAATTTTTTTAAAAAAAAAGAAAATTAGAAACCCTCATTCACCCCTATGGGAACGTGAAAATTGTACAGTTGCCATGGGAACCTCTTTTGTACTTCCACGAACAGGAAAATGGAGTTAGCATAGGAATCAGGAATTTGAATCATAGAACTTCACTGCTGGAAGGAGGGGCTCTCATTCTTGCATGTAACTATTCCTAACATTGTGATTAACACACCTCTAATTTCTATCACCACACTGGCTCAGGTGGCATGTCCAGAGTGTGCTTGGCCACGAACAAGAATCGCACACTGGCACAGGCTACAGAGTGTGGTACTGAGTGACAGCAGCCAGCTGCAAAAGGTGTCACCTGGAAGATGTCCCAAAGAGGGAAAATCACTAAGGGAGCTGATTGGGCAGGGGCTGCCAGCACACAAAAGAAACTGGGGACTGACTGATGGAAAGGGCTCTCTTAAAGACATCAAATGTTCCCGAACTGGGCAGGGTGGGGCTGAATGGAAAATGTGCCACAAACCACTGAATAAAACAGGGATACTTTTATTAAAGTTTCATTTCATTTCATCAAAAGAAGCCATTTGAGTAGCTTGGTGGTGGTGCACACCTTTAATCCCAGCACTCTGGAGGCAGAGTCAGGTGGATCTCTGTGAGTTCAAGGCCAGCCTGGTCTACAGAGTGAGTTCCAGGACAGCCAGGGCTACATAGAAAACCCTGAATTGAAAAACAAAAACAATACATTAATAAATACCAAAAAAAAATGTGGACAGGAGGTCAGGAGATGACTCAGTAGATATGAGTACTTGCTGTGCAAGCATTAGGACTTGAGTTCGAATCCCCAGCTCCCACGAAGACAGTTGGCTATGAGAGACAGACTCAAGGATTCACTGTAAACAACCACAGAGGAAGACAGCAGCTGCTGCACTCCTGCTCACCTGTACCACACACACACACTCCTGCTTACCTGTACCACACACAAACCCTCCTGCTTACTTGTACCACAAACACACTCCTGCTCACCTGTACCACACACACTCCTGCTCACCTGCAGTACACACACCAACACCTGCTCACCTATACCACACACACACACTCCTGCTCACCTGTACCACTCAACCACACCCCTGCTCACACGTACCACACATAAACACTCCTGCTCACCTGTACAACACACACACTCCTGATCACCTTTATCAGACACACACACTCCTACTCACCAGCACCAATCACACTCCAGCTGACCTGTACCACACACACACAATCCAGCTCATCTGTAACACAGACACATACTCCTGCTCACCTGTACAACACACACACACTTCTTCTCACCTATACCACACACACAAACTCCCGCTCACCTGTACCATACACACTCTCCTGCTCACCCGGACCACACACACACACTCCTGCTCACCTGTACCACGCACACAACTGCTCACCTGCACCACACACACACACTCCTGCTCACCTGCAACACACACACACACACTCCTTCTCACCTGTACCACACACACACACTCCTGCTCACCTTACCACACACACACACTCCTGCTCACTTGTAACACACACACACACACTCCTGCTCACCTGCACGACACACACTCCTGCTCAACTGCACCACACACACACATTCCTGCTCACCTGTACCACACACATGCACTCCTGCTCACCTGCACCACACACAATCCTGCTCACCTGCACCACACACACTCCTGCTCACCTGCACCACACACACACATTCCTGCTCACCTTTACCATACACACACACTCTTGCTCAATGTACCACATACACACACTCGTGCTCACCTGTACCACAAACTCCTGCTCACCTGTACCACACACACACAATCTGGCTCACGTGCACCACACACACACTCTCCTGCTCACCTGCACCAAACACACACTCCTACTACCTGTACCACACACACACACTTCTGCTCATCGGTACCACACACACTCCTGCTCAGCTGTACTACATACATACACACTGCTGCTCACCTGCACCAAACACACACTCCTACTACCTGTATCACACACACACACACGCACTCCTGCTCACCTGCACCACACACACTCCTGCTCACCTGCACCACACACACACATTCCTGCTCACCTGTACCACACACACGCACTCCTGCTCACCTGTACCACACACACACACTCCTGCTCACCTGCACCACACACACTCCTGCTCACCTTCACCACACACACACACATTCCTGCTCACCTGTACACACTCACACACTCCTGCTCACCTTTACCATACACACACACTCCTGCTCAATGTACCACATACACACACTCGTGCTCACCTGTACCACAAACTCCTGCTCACCTGTACCACACACACACAATCTGGCTCACATGCACCACACACACACTCTCCTGCTCACCTGCACCAAACACACACTCCTACTACCTGTACCACACACACACACTTCTGCTCATCGGTACCACACACACTCCTGCTCAGCTGTACTACATACATACACACTGCTGCTCACCTGCACCAAACACACACTCCTACTACCTGTACCACACACACACACACGCACTCCTGCTCACCTGCACCACACACACTCCTGCTCACCTGCACCACACACACACATTCCTGCTCACCTGTACCACACACACACACACTGCTGCTCACCTGTACCACACACACTCCTGCTCACCTGCACCACACACACTCCTGCTCACCTGCACCACACACACGCACTCCTGCTCACCTGCACCACACACACATATTCCTGCTCACCTGTACCACACACACTCCTGCTCACCTGCACCACACACACACATTCCTGCTCACCTGTACCACACACACGCACTCCTGCTCACCTGTACCACACACACACACTCCTGCTCACCTGCACCACACACACTCCTGCTCACCTTCACCACACACACACACATTCCTGCTCACCTGTACACACTCACACACTCCTGCTCACCTTTACCATACACACACACTCCTGCTCAATGTACCACATACACACACTCGTGCTCACCTGTACCACAAACTCCTGCACACCTGTACCACACACACACAATCTGGCTCACGTGCACCACACACACACTCTCCTGCTCACCTGCACCAAACACACACTCCTACTACCTGTACCACACGCACACACACACACACTTCTGCTCATCCGTACCACACACACACTCCTGCTCAGCTGTACTACATACACACACACACTGCTGCTCACCTACACCAAACACACCCCTGCTCACCTGTACCACACACACACACTCCTCCTTACCTGTACCACACACACTCCTGCTCACCTGTACCACACACACAAACTCCTGATCATTTGTACCACAGACACTACTGCTCACGTGTACCACACACACACACTCCTGCTAACATGTACCAGACACACTCCTTCTCATCTGAACCACATACACACTCCTGGTCACCTGCACCACACACAGTCCTGTTCACCTATACCACAAACACACACTCCTGCTCACTTGTACCACACACACACACTCCTGCTCACTTGTACCACACACACACACTCCAGCTCACTTGTACCACACACACACACACACACTCCTGCTAACCTGCACCACACACACACACTCCTGCTAACCTGCACCACACACACTTCTGCTTACCTGCACCACCCACACACATTCCTGCTCACCTGTACCACACACACGCACCTGCACCACACACACACTCCAAATCACTTGCACCACACACACTCCTGCACACCTGCACCATACATACTCCTGCTCAACTTTACCACACACACACACTCCTGCTCACCTGTACCACACACACTCCTGCTCACCTGCACCACACACACACACACTCCTGCTTCCCTGTACCACAAACACAAACTCCTGCTCACCTATATAATACACACACACTCCTGCTCAACTGTACCACACACACACACTCCTGCTTACCTGCAACACACACACACACACTCCTGCTCACCTTACCACACACAATCCTGCACACCTGTACCACACACACCCCCTCTTGCTCAACTTTACCGCACACGACTCCTGCTCACCTGCACCACTCACACTCCTGCTCACCTGCACAACACACACACTCCTGCTCACCTGTACCACACACACTCCTGCTCACCTGCACAACAAACACACTCCTGCTCACCTTTACCACACACACACACTCCTGCTCACCTGTACCACACATACACACTTCTGATCACCTGTACCACACATAAAGACTCCTGCTCAACGGGAACCACACTCACACACATTCCTGCTTACCTGTACCACACACACACACTCTGCTCAGCTATACCACACACACAAACTCCTGCTCACCTGTACCATACACAAACACTCCTGCTCACCTGTGAACACACACACAAACTCCTGCTCACCTGTATCATACACACAAACACTCCTGCTCCTTGTACCACACACACACACTCCTGCTCACTAGTACCACACACACACACACTCCTGCTCACCTGCACGACACACACTCCTGCTCACCTGCACCACACACACACATTCCTGCTCACCTGTACCACACACACGCACTCCTGCTCACCTGTACCACACACACGCACTCCTGCTCACCTGCACCACACACACTCCTGCTCACCTGCACCACACACACACATTCCTGCTCACCTTTACCATACACACACACTCCTGCTCAATGTACCACATACACACACTCGTGCTCACCTGTACCACAAACTCCTGCTCACCTGTACCACACACACACAATCTGGCTCACGTGCACCACACACACACTCTCCTGCTCACCTGCACCAAACACACACTCCTACTACCTGTACCACACACACACACACACACACACTTCTGCTCATCCGTACCACACACACACTCCTGCTCAGCTGTACTACATACACACACACTGCTGCTCACCTGCACCAAACACACACTCCTACTACCTGTACCACACACACACACACGCACTCCTGCTCACCTGCACCACACACACTCCTGCTCACCTGCACCACACACACACATTCCTGCTCACCTGTACCACACACACGCACTCCTGCTCACCTGTACCACACACACACACTCCTGCTCACCTTCACCACACACACACACATTCCTGCTCAATGCACCACATACACACACTCGTGCTCACCTGTACCACAAACTCCTGCTCACCTGTACCACACACACACAATCTGGCTCACGTACACCACACACACACTCTCCTGCTCACCTGCACCAAACACACACTACTACTACCTGTACCACACACACACACACACACTTCTGGTCATCCGTACCACACACACACTCCTGCTCAGCTGTACTACATACACACACACTGCTGCTCACCTACACCAAACACACTCCTGCTCACCTGTACCACACACACACACTCCTCCTTACCTGTACCACACACACTCCTGCTCACCTGTACCACACACACAAACTCCTGATCATTTGTACCACAGACACTACTGCTCACGTGTACCACACACACACACACCTGCTAACATGTACCAGACACACTCCTTCTCACCTGAACCACATACACACTCCTGGTCACCTGCACCACACACAGTCCTGTTCACCTGTACCACAAACACACACTCCTGGTCACCTGCACCACACACATTCCTGCTCACCTGTACCACACACACGCACTCCTGCTCACCTGCACCACACACACATTCCAAATCACTTGCACCACACACACTCCTGCACACCTGCACCATACATACTCCTGCTCAACTTTACCACACACACGCACTCCTGCTCACCTGTACCACACACACGCACTCCTGCTCACCTGCACCACACACACTCCTGCTCACCTGCACCACACACACACACTGCTGCTCACCTGCAACACACACACACTCCTGCTCACCTGTACCACACACACACACTCCTGCTCACCTGCACCACACACCTGTACCACACACACACACACTCCTGCTCACCTGTACCACACACTCACACTCCTGCTCACCTGCTCTACACACACACACTCCTGCTCACCTGTACCATACACACTCCTGCTCACCTGCACCACACACTCACACTCCTGCTCACCTGCTCTACACACACACATACTCCTGCTCACCTGTACCATACACACTCCTGCTCACCTGCACCACACACACACTCCTGCTCACCTGCACCACACACACACACTCCTCCTCACCTGTACCACACACATACTCCTGCTCACCTGTACCAAACACACACACTCCTGCTCACCTGCACCACATACACACTCCTGCTAACCTGTACCACACACACACCTCCTCACCTGTACCACACACACTCCTGCTCACCTGCACCACACACACACTCCTGCTCACCTGTACCACACACACTTCTGCTCATTTGCACTACACACACACACTCCTGCTCACCTGCACCCCACACATACACTCCTGCTCACCTGTACCTCACACACTCCTGCTCACCTGCACCCCACACATACACTCCTGCTCACCTATACCACACACACACACTGCTGCTCACCTGTACCACACACACTCCTGCTTACCTCTACCACACATGTCGTAATAAGTGCAGCGGGGCTGTCTGCCCGGCACCTCGCTGCCCACATGGCTAGCTCTAGCTTATGCCCCGAAATAACAACACACAAACTGTATTCATTAAAACACTGCTTAGCCCATTTTTATCTAGGCTCTTCTCGGCTAACTCTCGCACCTGGACTAGCCCATTTCTAATCATCTATGTAGCACCGGTTTTACCGGGAAGATTCTAGCCTATGTCCATCCTGGTTCGGAGCTTCATCGCGTACATCTTCCCAGGAGTGGGGAGCATGGTGTCTCTCTGAGGCGTCTGCCCCCAAAGGAGAGCTGTAGAGTCTGAGCTCACTTCCTCTTCCTCCCAGCATTCTGTTCTGTTTACTCCTCCCACCTATGTTTTAACCTATGAGGGCCAGCCAAGCAGTTTTTTATTTTTTTAACCAATGACCTTCCTCCATTACACACACACTCCTGCTCACCTTACCACACACACTCCTACTCACCTGTACCACACACACACACTCCTGCTCACCTGCACCACACACACTCCTTCTCACCTGCACCACACACAGCCCCCCCAGGATCACACACACAACCCCCCCAGGATCACACACACAGCCCCCCCAGGATCACACACACAGCCTCCCCTCCAGGATCACACACACAGCCCCCCCATCACACACACAGCACCCCCCGCCAGGATCACACACACAGCCCCCCCCCGCCAGGATCACACAGCCCCCCCCCGCCAGGCTCACACACACAGCCCCCCCTGCCAGTTCACACAACACACTTGCACACTGTAACAGGAGACCAACATACACATATCTATCACATAGCTATATCTAAGTACTCTTTGCATTTTGCTAAGATTTATTTATTTATGTTTTTGTTTGAGACGTGGTTTCTCTGTGTAGCTTTGGCTGTGTTGGAATTTGTTCTCAGACCAGACTGGCCTTGAACTCAGAGATTCACTGCCTCTGCCTCCCAAGTGTTGGGATTAAAGGTGTGCTCCATCACCACCCAACTTAATTACATGTTTGGGGCAGCATATGTACATCTGAGTGAAGGTGAGACCAGAGACCAGAAGGTGTAGGATCTCCTGGCTCCCGAGCTCCAAGCAGCTGCACGCTGGGAACAGACCTGGGCTGCTGTTAACCACTGAGTCAACTCTCCAGCCCCTCTGTTTACTTTTTTTATTTAACTTTATTATGTTCGTTGGTGTGAAGGTGTCAGATCTCGTGGAACTGCATTTTCAGACAGTTGTGAGCTGCCATGTGGGTGCTGGGAATCGAACCTGGGTCCCCTGAAAGAGCAGTCAGTGCTCTTTACCACTGAGCCATCTCTCCAGCCCCCCTCTGTTTACTTTTAAAGATGGTGTCTTCTAGGTCAGACTCTTCTGAGTGCCTGCAGTCCCCCGCCCAAGCCTCTGGATTACAACGGTGACAGCCTGCGTTGATGTGCTCACCTTGTTCACATCTACACTCAGTTAGTGTAGCTCTGCAAATGGCTCCCTCTTTTGGTCTCCACAGGTACCTGGCACGCACATCACGCACAGACATACATGTGGGCAAGGTCCTCATACACAGGTGCCAGAAGCCCGATACTCAGGATGACGGGGAAGTGCCTGTCTACATTGCACCCAAAGGTCCAGTTTCCAAACCTGGGCATCCTGTGGGTTCCCATATCTCCATCCTCGGGCTCTGTAACACTGCCTGTGTCCCTGTCAGCTCCGTCTCCTGCCATCTCTTCAGCTCCCCTTCCACACTTTTTCTTTTTTTGTGGCAGCGTCTTACTACGTAGCTCTGACCGGCCTAGAACTAGCTATGTATACCAGGCTGCCCGCCCCCCACAACTCGCAGTGGTCTTCTGCCTCCTGGGCCCTGCCCACTTCCCCAAGCCTTAAACCTGCCCATTAGGGTGGGACAACCCGGGAGGTCCCGCCCCTGCCCCACCCCTCCGCTTCCTTTCCCAGACCTGTCCTCGTGCCTTGCAAGATCCCCTTTTCTGGTCCGTCCCCCCACAGGAGCCAGGCCCTGCCCCACTCCGGACTGTTCACGTGGAAGACCCAGCCCTTCAGCTCCTGCTGCTGGGTCACCCCTGACCCCCGTCCTCTTAAGACAGCCTCCTCGGCCCCGCCTTAGCCACGCCCCTCAGCATCAGGCCCCGCTCCTCTGGTTCTTACCGCAGCTCCCTCGTGACCCCCTTCCCTCCCACCCCTGCTACCCCCGCCTCACGGCGCCACACACCTGGAGGCGGCGCCCGCGCCTGGTGCGGAATAGAAAACACTTTCTTCCAAGTTTTCGCCCATCTTCCACGTCCCAGCTGGGACCAGCACTCGAGACCCCTGTCCAGAGGGCCCCGTGGCGCCCCACCCCCACCCCAAGATCCCCAAAGGCCTACAGACGCCTTCACTACCTGCGCCTTCTCGCCACCCGTGGCCCGTGTCATGGGTCGCTCGTACGGAGGCCGGGTACTGTCCGCGATGACCCTGCTAGGCATCCCAGCCGCCGTGCTGGTCGTGCTGGCTGCACAGCTGCTGTTCCAGCTCCAGGCGGGGCGTGTCGAGCTGCGAGGTGTGCGCACCGACTGGCTGAACGCGGAGCTGGACCCCGACGCGGGGCTACCGGAAGCTGCGGCTGGGGCATTGCTGCCGCTGGCGACTGCTCTGGCAGCGCTGGCGCAAGTCCTCGGGCTTAGCTGCCTGCTACTCGCCGCGCTCTGCGGACACCTGGGCGCCGAGCTGGCACGCGGCCCGGGGCCAGGCAGGTAGGACGCCACCACCTCTACCTGCAAACTGAGGTTTCCAGAGAGCGCACCGTTGCCTCCCACTGCTTTCCGCGCTGGTGCTTGGGATGCATCCCAGGGGCACATGCCAATTATCGGAGCTATACCCCAGCCCCGCGGCGGGGTTCAGGAAGGGCAAGACTGCCGCAGCCTGGCCAGGGGTCGCCTGCTCAGGCCCCTGAGCTCAGGGGTGCAGGAGTAGGTGACTTCCACCTGGAATCGTAGGCATGCGGTGAGATGCCCTGCTTGTCCCACTTTGACTCTTTCTCTCATGGCACCCTGATGCTGGTGGGACCGCGGTGGGTGCGCAGATGGATAGGTGGGTGGATGTGGGTACGCGGCGGTGATGAGTTCACAGGTGGGGGGCGAGGGTGGCAGCCTCTAAACTTTGGCATGATGTCACTGTCCCTCTTCCTGTCGCCTTCCTTCAGGTCAGACTGGTTTCTTTATGACTGCCGTCTCCTCAGGCACTCTGCACTTGGCCTGTTCTGCTGTGGGGTCTCCGTCTACTTAGCAGGTGTGTGGGGCAGAGGTCGGGGGTGGGGTGCACACAGGTCTCGGGGCCAGTCAGCCTGAGTTCAGGCAGTTGCTCCACTTTCTCTGGGATATGTTCTGTGCCTCAGCTTTCGCATCAACCAAGAGTGATGAATGTCCCTGGTGCTTAAAACGGACAGAGGATTCTCCTTTAATACTCATTATTACTATTTATCATGTAGTCTAGGTGGGCCTGGAAGTGGCCTTGTAAGCCAAGGCTGGCCTTGAACTTCCAACCTTGTTTTCACTTCCCAACCCTTGGGAGCACAGGCGTGCATAGTGTCTGTGTGTGCAGTGCCCACAGAGGTCAGAGGCCATAGAGACCCCTGGAGCTGCAACTTAGGCAGTTCTGAAATGCAAGGGTTATGGGAGCCAATCCCAGATCTTCTGTAAGAGCAACCAATGCTCTTAACCTCCAAGCCATCCCCCAGCCCCCCAACCCCTTCCTGTTTTGACTTTTGCTTTTTTAATTTGTGTTTTAGACAGTCTCACGTAGCCCAGACATGTAGATACAGTCTTGTGTTTCAAACTCTCTATGTAGCCAGGGATAACCTGATCCCCCTGCCTCCACAGTGTGGGATGATAGGCAAAGCCACACCTGTTCATTCGGTGCTGAATGACCTCATGCATGCCAAGCAAGCGCTCTACCCACTGAGTCACAGCCCGGGCTCTGGAAGGACTTGGTTTTGCTTTAACCACATTGTAGCTGGAACCTGGGATCCAGAGCACACTAGACAATCCTGAACCTCTGAGGTGCCTCCCCCAGAAAGGGCTGTAGAGGTGGCTCAGTGGTTAAGGGTGCTTACTGCTCTTCCAGAACACCCAAGTTTGGTTCCCAGCACCCATGTCAGGCAGCTCAGAGCCTCCTCTGGCCTCCGTGGGCACCTGCACTTATCACGTGCACACGCACGGGGTGGGTAGGGGAGAAATCTTTAAAATCAGAAGCCCCATTTTCAGGACTGGCTCACTGATGACTGCTAGCAGTTCCTGGGACCCACACTTCCAGAGTCTCCCCCAAGGTGTCCCCTGACGTCACATGCACCCTGTGGTATGTTGCACATCCGCAGTGAACAAATGCAGTGAAAATGCAAAAAAGTAACTAGCAAAATCGCACCTGAGTTCCTCCAGGCTGCGAGGCTTTGGGGTGCTCCCCTCCCCACCCAGTGTTCATAGCTGTTTTGTTACCTGAGCACAGAACTGGAATCCCAGGAACCACTGTGCAGTGCTGGGAACCAAACCCAGGACCTCTTAACCATAGAGCCGTATGTCTACTAATTTTTGCTGTTTGTTTCTTTGTTTTGGGGGTGGGGTCTTACTATATAGTCCTGGCTATCCCTGAAACTCACTTTGTAGAGCAGGCTGGCCTCAAACTCACAGAGATCTTCCTGAGTGCTGGAATTAAAGGCGTGCACCACCACCCCTGGGCTGGTTTCCTTATCTGGAGATGGTTGTGATGGTGGTGGGGCTTCCCTAGACCCACCTGCTTGTTCTGGCCCAGGGTTCTCTGGGTGTTTGAGGGATCTTCCCCAAGGGCTCAGAGGGCAAATGTTTGTTGAGTGACTAAGTGAGCCATTTCTTTCTCAGCACTGGCCATTTATACCCTTCTGCTCTTCGAGATCGAGGCGGGAGCAGCGGCCGCATCTATCCTGGGTTCAGGCGCCCTGGTCCTGGTGGCAGTAATGACTCACACCCTACTCCGGGCTCTTCGGGCCACTCGCCGAGGTCTCCACGAGCTGTCCCCACCAGTGTTTGAAGATGAGCCAGCCCGGCCTTCAGAAGACTCCAAAACTGGCTGCAGGGCTCAGCCCCAGCAGGGTACCCATGGCCAGACCCTCTATGCCCTGTCCTGGGAACCTGGGGACCCCCCTGGGCCCATGACCACTGGTATCACTTCCAGAGTCCTGGGGAGAGCCAGGGAAGGCAGTCTGCCTGCTTCTCCCCAACCCCAGACACAATTGGCTGGAGTCGCTCGTGAGACGCATAGCATGCTGGGCCACAGGCCACTGGACACAGGAAAGGACACCACACTGGTGTGAATTGGGAATCAGGGGCAAGAAGACAAGATGATGATATCACAGAGATAGGTCAGCTCAGCTCTTGCAGCCACGGGCCTTCTTCCCTCTGAGTTTATGGAATCCTTGGCTTATGTCAAAGTTGCCTCCTGATGCAAAACAGCTGCCCATGCTCCAGCTTTCCCCTCCTTGCTAAGAGGGGTAACAAAGGCCAGGGGTGGACAGGTATTCTGAAGGCCTGGAGACCTGGGGCCTTCTGCTTGCATCTCACTGGGCAGATGTTGACAAACAACCAGACCTTGGTCCAGGGGAGTCTGAGGATGTAAACAAAAGAGGTTCTTTTATAGATGGGAGGGAGGGTGGGCTTGGGCTCGGACTCTCAATGACTCTCTATCCTTTCAACAGATGAGGAGCCGGAGGCGTCAGTAGGGGCTGTGACTCACCAAGGTCCTCATTCCTGAGCATCAGGGCCTGGAATGGCTCCCAGGTCCTGGGAGCCCACTCCCATGTTCCTGGAAGAAGGTTCGAGTCTTAGACCTCCACTTCCCGACACTCCCTGGGGAGTTGTGGATGTTTGAAATTCGCATGTGTGGAGCTCAGAGCAGCCCAAGGCCAGGAGCATTCAGGGATGGCTGGAGTCTCACCATGAGCCCAAGACTGAGTGGGTCTCGCTGCTGCGCCTCCGTTTTCTTATCTGTAACAGAGACGGGAGAAGCTGTACACAGCACCCTCAGTAACCATGTGTCTTGGTTGTATGGTTGCTCTGCCTCTTTAACAAAGGCCACTTAAGAAAGAAGAGGCTTCTGCTCCCAGCTCCATGCCTAACCCTACTTCTGGCTCACTTGCGTTCTGTGTCAAAGTACCTTGATACAATCCGCGTGGGAGCAAGGGCTTGTCCTGGTGACAGTCAGTCAGAAGCAGAGAGACAGGAATGCTGCCTCGGGTCGCTCAGGCCTTGGGCTGCTCCCACACTCAGGATGGGCTGACCCATCTCAGCTAACCATGCCGGGAGGCCGGTCTCCAAGGTGATTCTGGATCTGTTGCTGGCACTTGCGTGGAAGCAGGTGACTGCCTCCTAAGGGAACCGCTGAGGCCCACTCAGCCCAGAGGGCTCCACCCCTTTCCAGAATGTACAGCGCCAGGAATAAACTCAGCTGGTGGCTTGCTTTGTTTTGTTGCCTTTGGTTTTTAAGACAGGGTTTTATGTAGCCCAGGCTGTCCTGGAACACTCAGCGTAGCCAACAATGGCCTTAACTCCTGCTGCTGCCTCCCCTTCCAAGCCTCAGGACCCCATGAATCGCTGCACCCTAGGCCCTCACTGGCTTCTCCCTCCTCTGGTCTGCTCTTCTCTTCTCAAACCTAGAATATTCTCCAAGGCTCTGACGGGAGAGTCTGCTGAAGGCTGAAGCTGAGACCTGCCCTGCCCGTAGGCACCGCCCTCCCCATGGGCACTGCCCTGAAAGCAGAACTGGGAGCCATGATGACTTGGCTCAGTCTCAGCTGCGCAGGACTGTCCGGGCAGGCCTGCTGGGAGACACCTGATCTGGGTGTGCCAGGATGTGCCTCCCTCCTCCAACAGTCACCACTGGGACTTGGCTTTTAGACTTGAGTTTCTGTCTGTCCTTCTTTTAATTCTCTCTCTCTCTCTCTCTCTCTCTCTCTCTCCCGATTTCCCTCTGTTTTTGTCGTTGTTTCTTTGCTTGTTTGTTTTTGGACAAGGTCTTATGTAGCCTAGGCTTCCTCTGAGTGTGTGTACGCCACTACACCTGGCCACTACACCTGGCTAAGTCATCCCCAGTCACTTTCTACACAGGCTCACCTCACAGTGTCATGTGGCCGAGGCAGGAGGATTGCTGCAAGTTCTAGCCCAACCTGGGCTACCTAGTGAGCCCTGACTTAAAAAATGGAACAGACTCGTCCATGCTGCCAAACAAGGTAATGCAGATTTGTGATACCAGCACTCGGGAGGCTGGAGCAGGAGCATTGCTATGTGTTCATAAACAGACTGGGCAGTGAGCCTCCTGGCCCCTCAGAAGATGAGGCAGGAGAACCCAGCAGGAATCCAAGGTCTCACTTGAGTGCACAGTGAGTTAGTCACTGGGCTACATGAGATTCAAGCAGACTGAATAAAAACCCAGCTAACCAACCAACAAACAAAACAACAGTGTAGCTCCTCTGGCCACATGAGGTGGGGAACAGAAGACATCTTATTGCTAAGATGGGGAAACTGAGGCACAGAGAGGTTGAGAGCACAGTGGGGCTTTTGACTTGGTGGGATGCAGGGAGTCTCCTGCTGTAGCCACACGGAGTTGTGCGTCCCAGGCAGGCTCTGTGGGACCCCAGCTGTCAGACCGGAAGTTTGGCAAATACCAAGGGGTGTGGTTGGGAGCACACTGATTCCTTGTGACTTAAGGCCAAGCACAGGTCGCTGGAGGCCTCTGATCACCCGCAGACGCTCTGAAAAGCGATCCTGGATGTTTTCGGGACAGCTGGGAAGGTGGCCAGGGAGAACAAATGGCTTTTGCTTCCAAGCGAGATCAGATTTGGTGGCTGGTGCCACAAGCAGCCTGGGCAGGACCTGGCAGCCCCCCAGCAGCAGGTAGGATCAGGGCAGCCCCCAGATTCCTGTGTCCAGGCCTAGTGGCACACTGATAGTTCTGTGCCGACTCTGGCCTCTTTAACTACTATCTAGCTCTGTTCATCCTGCACAGCAACCAGCATCTTCATCAGAGCTATCATGAGTGCTCAGGAGACCCTGGGATCTGGCCTGCTGGCTGGTGGCAGTCCCTCAGAAGAGACTGGAGGGGAGGGTCGCTGGTCAGCTCCTGAGAGTTCCCCTCCGTCCCACGTGTGTGTCTCAGCTACTGTGTGTGTTCTGCCCCAATCCTTCATGGCGGCTGGGGGGTGGGCTGCTCAAGAGGCACTAGTATCCATAATGTGGAAAGTTAACTGAAGGATATAACAGGTCCCAGACTTTAGCACAACTGACTCCATGATGGAAGTACCACTCAGGCCATGAAACTCAGCATAGACAGCACCACCTGCTAAAAAATAAAACAATAACCTAACCCAGCAAAGTCCATAGTTCTGGGAGAGTGTCTACTCTGCAAGCTCCCCTTCTGGCTGACTGTCCATGTCAACTGAAGCATGCCCACCCAGGGCATGGCTTTGTGCTTCAAAGCTCACCCTGAAAAGGGCTGGGTTACAGTGGACCCCAAACACCCAGGGTGGTCACGAGTCAACTAGTAAAGACTTTCTATTGGCTTAAACGATGTCCAAGCAGTCTTCTCTGATGGCTGTCCTACAACAACGGGGACTCTCTGTGAAGCTATAGGGTCCCCACACTCCTGTAACCATACAGTCCAGGGGTCTCATCTTGCCAGAATGGTTTGAGGGAGCTAATCCTTCACAGACCTGCTGGAACTCAGGTTGATTCTCCTGCCTCAGTCTAAGCATGGCACCCAGCACCCACTTTCATGCAGTATCTGCCGTCTGCTTGGAGGGAGATGTGTTCGCATTCCTAAATCTCCTGTGACCTCCCTGATGACCTGGAACAAGCCAGTATGGCCCCTCCTGTGTGCATGTGGGCTCTGCACAGGACTGCTTTTCCCCTTTGAGCTTTTTTTTTTTTAAATTATTTTATTTATTGTTTTTGTTTTGTTTTGTTTTTTTGAGACAGGGTCTTTCTACAAAGCCCCAACTGTCCTGGAACTATGTAGCCTGAATTCACAGACCCACCACTTCTGCTTTGAAAGCACTGGGGTTAAAGGTGTGTACCACTACACCGAGCCTACTTTTTAAAAAAATAAAAAAAAAATAAACATGACCTTTTTATATAATTTATTTAAGTTTATGTGCATTGGTGTGAAGGTATCAGATCTTCTGAAACTGGAATTATAGACAGTTATGAGCTGCCATGTGGTTGCTGGGCATTGAACCCAGGTCCTCTGGAAGAGCAGCCAGTGCTCTGAACCGCTGAGCTGTCTCTCCAGCCCCCACCCCCCACCCCACTTTTTTATTTTTGAGGCAGGCTCTCATGAAGCATAGATTGGTCTACAGTCATCAAGAATGGCATTGCACTCCTGATCCTCCTGCATCCTCTCCCAGTGTGCCACCACACCCAGCTCACTCTGTATCACTCCAGCCACTGAGCTGCAGGCCCCACGGGGTTGCTGCTGCTGACCCCAGGTGTCCTGCAGAAAGTCTGGAGCTCTAAGCACAAAGACGCCTTGTGTGCCTCTCCAACATCAGACAAAGCCTGAGGGCTTGTTTCCAAAGGCGCCCCATGCCAGCGCAGGTCGGGCTGCTTCCCCTCACCCATGCCCCAAGCTGACCACCATGAAGAGCCAGGCTGCCCCAGGGTCACACCTGTTAAGCTTCAAAATGCCCAGGGTGTGAGGCAGAGGCAGCAAGTATGGTCTCTATTCAGAAAAAGAAACAAAGGCAGGGGAAGGGCATAAGGTTCAGACATGGGGCCAGAGGGATGGCTCAGCCATTAGGAGCACTTACTGACCCATGCTCTGCTCCCAGCACCCAAGGCACACAGCTGCCTGTAACTCCAGCTCCAGAGGATCTGGTGCCCTCTTCTGGCCTCCAAGGGTCCTGGCATGCATGTGTCTGCGCGGGCACGCGCGCACACACACAAATGTTAATTCAAATAAAGGTCTAGATGGCATGTCCGAGTGCACCATCCTGAGCCTTTGGCAAGGGGTGTGAGTCTTGTGGCAGGGTTTAGACTACCTGCACATCTGCCTGCTGCACTAACCGGTACAGGGGCTGCACATTAATTTTTTTTTTTTATTTTTCGAGACAGGGTTTCTCCGTAGCTTTTTGGTTCCTGTCCTGGAACTAGTTCTTGTAGTCCAGGCTGGCCTCGAACTCCCAGAGATCCGCCTGCCTCTGCCTCCCGAGTGCTGGGATTAAAGGTGTGCGCCACCACCACCCGGCTGCACCTTAATTATTAGTTGCTAACCACTGCAGCTAGCATTAGCGACTCCTCAGTTACCCGCCTGCTTCTCAGGCAGCAGCCTGGCTGCTCAGGTTGCAGTGTGGCAGGAATTCTGTTCCCTTAGGCACTGGCTCTGTCATTGCCGCTAAAGGTAGCTTTAACTAGATCTCTATTGTTATGTTTACAAACAAGACTTGAGATTCAAAGGCTGGGGTGAAAACCTGCTAGCTCAGAGAGGTGGAGTAGCACCTAGCTAACCTTCTGTCCTAGAGGGCAGCTCCCTAAGGCAGTGTTCGTCTCCTGACCCAATTAATTTATTTAATTAATGCAAATGCAAATTTTGGGTTCACAGTGTGATCAAATGTCCCCCACCTGCTACTCCAGGCGCACAGCCCACTTCGCAAGGCTGTAAAGTACCCAGCTTGGTTTTTAAGCACTGTCAGTCTTCAGGGCTCTTACTATGAAGTGATGATTGTTGTTTCTGTGGGTAAACTCCAAGAGGTCTCTAAAGAGGACCGGTGGCAGGGCTCATCAGGCAGAGCCCACATGGCAGAGGGCATTGTGTGACCCTACCTAAGGAGATAAACTCATACCTACTGATTCCAGATGGGGAACCGACCACAGACCAGTACAGTACCAGCTTGATGAAGCACTAAGTTTTATTTGGGTCACTTACAGAGCAGAAATGACTCACAGACAGCTACATCAGCAGACACACCCCGCAGGCAGCTTCATAGGTTGGGGTCCTTTCCAGGACACTCAGCTTGTCTGAGCCGCTCTCAGCAGCTTATACACAACTGGGGGGATGAGGCCTAGAGCATCTGGTCAGTTCAGAGACTGAGCTGTTTCCTTCCTCAGTGGAGGGAGCCTCAGAGAGACAGCCACACAGCAGGAGGGAACCAACTCCTGGAAATTGTCCTCTGACCTCTGCACATGGCACTCAGGAATCCCTCTCCCCACAAATAAATAAAAGTTAAAACTGTTTAAGTTTGGGGCCAGAGAGATGGCTTGGGTTAAGAGCACTAACAAGGCCTCCAGAGAGACTAGGTTCAATCGCCAGCGCCCACATGGCAGCTCACAGCAGTCCGTGACTCCAGGTTCAGGGCTCCTGACACACTCACACAATTGTGAGGAGGTGAGCACCAATGCACATATAATTTTAAAAAATAATTTAAGTTCACGGTCATTCTGGATGGGCTGCACAAAACCAATCTCCGGAAAAATTCCAAAATTTAAAATAAATTAAAAACTAAATCCTAAGGCTGAGGCTGCACCTCGGTTGGCAGAGGGCATGCCTGGAATGCACAAGAACAGAACCTGGTTCCAGGCTGACCACCACCCAAACCAGGTGTGGTAGAGCTCGAAGATCACCCTGGGCTGCGCGGCGGGTTTTCCAACAGTCTGTGCTTCACGAGACCCTGATCTTATAAATAACATAAAGGCCCTGCAGAGGAAGAGAGTTCGGTCGCCAACACCCATGTCAGGGAGCTCCAGGGGATCCCATGCCCTCTTCTGGCTTCCAAGAACACCCACATTCACACACACACTTAAAAAAAATCTTCAAAGAAAGAAAACAAAAGACCACACATGGCGGGTACCAGGAACTGTTTAGTGTTGGCGCATGTGCAGTCTCCAAACACAAGACTTGACAAGTGAAGAGAAAATGCTGTCCACGCAGGAGACCCTATCTCCAAGCTGCCGGGCTGCACTGCAAGACTGGGTGTCAGCCAGCAGGTGGCAGGCAGGGAGCACCCGAGTAGGGACTATGAGACGCTGGGGGGCAGGCGCGCAGCTGCTGTCTTCTCCACCACGAAGCCATAGTTATACTGGGGAGAGGAAAAAGGGGGGCTGAAGAGGAGGCACTGAGGACTGGAGGGGAACATTGGGAGTGACTGAGGAGTTGGAGTGCCTGGGGCCTGAGGGCACGGGGTGGGGCCTCAGCACTTCATGCACCCCTGCACCTACCTCCTTCTCAATGTCTGCCAGTGATTTAATGGTCAGGTCCCCAAAGGCTGACAAGTTCTAGAGGACAGAAGTGAGAGCGTGAGCCGGGGTCCCACTCAATGGTGCCATGTGCCTTCCATGTGCACACTCACCGCGGCCTGGGAGCTTCTCTCTCCTGCTGTGTGAGACCCTGGAACTGGTATACCGTAAGGCTTGGTGGCAAATGCCTTTACCGGCTGAGCCATCTCTTCTAGCATGCCCCCAACTTCGCAGATGGGACCTCAAGTAGCCCAGACTCACTGTGTAGCCAAGGATGTCCTTGCTACAGGGCCTCCTGCCTCTAACTCCCGAGGGCTGGGGTGACGAGGGCACCACCATACCCGGCCCCAATTCTCCCATCTTTCAGGACTTAGCCCACAAACACTGGCCTGGGTTTCATCCGACTCCTGACATCTCTACTCTGGGATCCCTTGGTCTCTCCCCTCACCCACTCAGTCATGGTCACTGTGCTGGATCATATGGCAGCAAGAATGTCACTTCCCCGTGAACAGAGGCTGGTGAGAGCTCCCCATCCCAGGGACACTGACTCACCAGAGGCCCGCAGCTCTTGCCCTCGAATCGGGGGTGCAGTGTAAAGGGAACCCCATCCATGGCTGCAATGAAAATTCCCAGGAGGCTGAGGAGGACCCCAGAACACCCTGCAGCTCCTCCCCCCACGACCGTGCCCACCCACGGACCATAGGCTGATTCCCACAGTGGAATCGGTGTGACTGGGACTACAGCTTTCCGGTCCCACGTACTCCTGGAACTCACGCCAAATCAACCCACCAGCTCCCTAATGGGCTCCAGCACTCTGCACTCTGTCTGTGTGGGGTCCTCCCAGGAAGAGGGTCATGCAGCACACCCCGGGTTCTGCCCTGAGCACCTGCAGAGCTTGAGGCCCCAGTCATTCCACCCCTCAAACAAGTCGGTCAGCAGTTAAGAGCCCAGATTCTATTCCCACCACACACGTGGCAGCTTACAACCCATTTTAACTCCAATTCCAAGGGATCCGTCCCCCTCTTCTGCCCCTCCCAGGACAATGTACACACTCGGCAGACAGGCACACATGCGAGCAAAACACGCATACACATAAACTTAAAAATAGATCTTAAAAATAAAAGCTTGGTGGGAGGGCCAGCTCCCACCAGAGGCTGTAGTGTCTCCATTCTGCTCACCTGAGATGCCGTAGAGACTGGACGCCTCGTAGACGGAGTCACTCCTCCGCAGCGTGGATGCTCGGGAGCCTAGTCTGGACAGCGTCCGCTCAGGGTGGCTGCTTTTGCTGGGGAGCAAGGAACAGTGACCTCAGTCAGGCTCGAAGCTGTCCTCTTGGCCCGCCTGCCCCCCAGGGAACCTGAGGCTCACCTCGGTTGTCTGGGTGGGTCCAGCGACAGGCCCTGCATATCCTGGCTGATAGTGCGCGGCTTGGGCACTGGCCTTGGGGCCTTGGATTTCTTGCACCAGATGGCAAAACCACCCATGTCCCTGGAGCAAGGGGGTGGGGCAGGGAGGAAGCCAATGCTCTGTGAAGCCGGGGCTGAAAGGGTCCTGGGGGACCCATGAGATCCCCGTCCCCACATGCAGAGGAGAAAGAGGCTAAAATCTAGAGGGGAAGTGGGCAGGGGAGGGTGCTCCAGGATGGGTGCTCCGCCCTACCCCACTCGCAGGTATCCGGGCACTGTCTTGGTCTTCCCACTCAGCTTCACGTCACATACAACCATGTCGGCAGCCCCCAGGGGCATCAGCTTCACACACATGCGTTTCTTCTTGGACACAGAGGCCTCTGGGAGTAGGGGCAGGGGAGTGAGAGAGGGGAGCAGGGCAGGGAGGGGAGCACCCAGCGATGCTCACCATAGTGTTTAGGGGCAACACCGGGCAGCTGCTTAAATCATAAATGGTGAACTCATAAGAGGGGTCACACTAACTTCTAGAATCATTGAAGCAGACTGACCTTTGCTGAATATTTGTGGGGTGGCTGTGGAATCAACAGTGGAGTATATATTTGGCACCCCAACTTCACTTTCCCTGATCTATAACCCAAGGGGGTCACAACAACTGCTCTTTAAAAATAATCTAGCACAAGGCTGTTGTGTGTGCTTCATGGAGTCAGGAAGGCTAATTATATTATATGTATGTTTTTGTGTTCATGAGCTAGAGTCTCATGTAACCCAGGCTGGCCTCAAAATCACGATGTAGCTGAGGATGGCCTCCTGATGCTGGAAGGCGTGCCTAGTCTATTTGGTGCTGGGGATGGAGCCAGGCCCCATCACATTAAGTGAGAACCCTGCTCTCTGAGCTATTGCCCCAGCCCTGTCTCACTCTGCAATCTGTGCTGCCCTGGAATTCACCACAGAGCCCGAAGTGCCTTTGAGCTGGAAGCAATCGTCCTGCCTCAGCCTCTCACATGCTGAAATAAAGAGCCCCAGCTCCACAGCCAGCAGGTTGAGACAGCTGCCAGGGGCTGAGCAGGATCCCCGAGGAGAGGACTGAGGTTCTAGGCCAGCTGGGGCTGCACACTGAGACCCTGCTCCTCCCAACCAACGAAACAGGTCCGTCAGAAACAGCAGTCAAAGAAGGGTAGGAGAAGCGCAGAAGCCTGCTGTCTGCACACTGACCTGACCTCTGCAGAGCAGCCTAGCCTGAGTCACTAAAGACACCTTGAGAACCAAGCATCATCGGGGAGGTGGGAAGCTGGGTCAGGCGGGGGACAGGAGGAGGGAAGGCTGAGCTATGCAGAGAACAGGGAAAGCCATTTCCGGCCGACTCGCTGTGCAAGAGCCTGGAAAGGAAAAGAGAATGGCGAGGACTCCCTCAGCCACAGAAGCAGAGGGCAAGCGGCAGTGACCAGGTCAGGAAGGCGGTGGGATTGTTTGTTCTGAGACAGTTTCGCTCCACTTCTCAGGGGAAGCTGAGACTCACGGCTGTCCTCCTACTTCAGCCTGAGTGCTGACACGGCAGGTGTGTGTCAACTATTTATTTTTGGAGTAGTGGGATGAGACAAGACCTCACTCTGTAGTCCAGGCTGGACTTGAACTCCCCACCATCCTCCTGCCTCAGCTTCCCAAGTTCTGCACTGTCAGGTTGTGCCTCTCTGCCCAGCTAGGTCATATTTGGTACCACACAGCCTCTCCCTGTGCCTGTCGCTCTCCCGTGGGCCCACGGATCTTACTGGCGTCTAGAGAGTCGTTGACGGTAGAAAAGCCAGACGGCAGAGGGCCCTTGTCCATCACGATCTGCATGTCCACTACCACACTGTCCTGAGGGTTCTAGGAGTAGGAGAGGGAGCAGGTGGAGGAGGGTCAGGGACGTCAGCGGGCAGGGGGAGGGTCGGGAAAGGCTCAGGTTCAGGCTTCCGGATGCCTATGCTCACCTTCTGGCTGCCCAGTGGGCTCAGGCACAGGAAGTAGCCGGCCTTCTGCGCGAAGCCGCGGCCGAAGCTGGCGGTCGCGCCCTCCACGGTAGAGGTGATCTGCGGGTCGAGCGAGTCAGCGGGGCTTCGTCCCCTCCCTGCCCCGTCCCCGCCGCCCTTGCCCGCCCCTCGCTCACCGCGCTGAAACCCGGCGGCGGCGGCGATAAGGCTGACGACCAGACCAGGCCCGCGAGCGGCTCCGCGTCCGCCCCGGAATCCATCCTCCCTGGGACCTCAGACGGCAACTAATGCCCTCGGACGGCCAGAACCTTGGACTACAATTCCCAGAAGACCTGGCGAACGTGCCCGCACAGCAGCTAGTGCTCATGCCCAGATGCTGAGGACCAGTCCGATGTAGCCGTGGGAACCACGCCCTCTGGGCGCACCCTTCAGAGACGTTTGAGGAAAAAGGATTAGTACTTCCGCCCTTAAGAACCACTCAGGGCGAAGCGGGGCAAGGGGGAGGCGGTTCAATTCCCTGTCAGGACTACACTCCCCATAATGCCATGTGACATCACCTACGACCCCTTGTTTCTCTATCAGAAACTGATCCGGAAAGGCCAAGTGGCCCTCACTTGTCATTCAAATAACTTCAAGAGACGGGTGCTGGATGGTGAAATGACCCTTACGACATAGTTACCGACAACAAGGCTCATTTAGTTAAGCCAATGAAAACTACAAGAGTCCTTTAATAATGGCCAGATCAAGAGAGTAGCCGAGGCTCAGGAGAACAGCGTTTTTTATTTTTATTTTTTTAAATATTTATTTATTTATTATTATGTATACAATATTCTGTCTGTGTGTATGTCTGCAGGCCAGAAGAGGGCACCAGACATCATTACAGATGGTTGTGAGCCACCATGTGATTGCTGGGAATTGAACTCAGAACCTTTGGAAGAACAGGCAATGCTCTTAACCACTGAGCCATCTCTCCAGCCCCCTTTATTTTTATTTTTGATTTTTATTGAGCTCTGCATTTTTCTCTGCACCCCTCCCTGTCTCTCCCCTCCCCTTCAACCCTCTCCCAAGGTCCCCATGCTCCCAATTTACTCAGGAGATCTTGTCTTTTTCTACTTTCTACTTCCCATGTAGATTAGATCTATGTAAGTCTCTCTTAGGGTCCTCATTGTTGTCTAAGTTCTCTGGGATTGTGATTTGTAAGCTGGCTTTCTTTGCTTTATGTTTAAAAGCCACTTATAAGTGAGTACATGTGATAATTATCTTTCTGGGTCTGGGTTACTTCACTCAAAATAATGTTTTCTAACTCCATCCTTTTCCTGCAAAGTTCAAGATACCATTTTTTTTCTGCTGTGTAATACTCCATTGGTTAAATGTACCACATTTTTCTTATCCATTCTTCGATAGAGTGGCATTTAGGTTGTTTCCAGGTTCTGGCTATGACAAACAAAGCAGCTATGAACATAGTTGAGCACATGTCCTTGTGGCACAATTGAGCATCCTTTGGATATAAACCCAAAAGTGGTATTACTGGGTCTTGAGGAAGGTTGTTTCCTAATTTTCTGAGAAATCGCCACACTGACAACCGAAGGGGCTGTACCAGCTTGCATTCCCACCAGCAATGCAGGAGTGCTCCCTTTTCCCACAACCTCTCCAGCATAAGTTGTCATCAGTGTTTTTGATCTTGGCCATTCTTACAGGTGAAAGATGGAATCCCAGAGTTGTTTTGATTTGCATTTCTCTGATGACTAAGGATGTTGAACATTTCCTTAAGTGTCTTTCAGCCATTTTAGATTCCTCTGTTGACAGTTCTCTGTTTAGGTCTGTACTCCATTTTTTTAATGGATTATGTGTTCTTTTGGTGTTCAATTTCTTTTTTTTTTTTTTTTTTTTTTTGGTTTTTCGAGACAGGGTTTCTCTGTGGTTTTGGAGCCTGTCCTGGAACTAGCTCTTGTAGACCAGGCTGGTCTCGAACTCACAGAGATCCGCCTGCCTCTGCCTCCCGAGTGCTGGGATTAAAGGCGTGCGCCACCACCGCCCGGCTGGTGTTCAATTTCTTGAGTTCTTTGTATATTTTGGAGATCAGATCTCTGTCTGATGTGGGGTTAGTGAAGATCTTTTCCCATTCTGTAGGCTGTCATTTTGTCTTGTTGACCATGTTTTTTCTTTACAGAAGCTTTTCAGTTTCAGGAGGTCCAATTTAGTAATTGTTTCTCTCAGTGTCTGTGCTGCTGGGGTTATATTTAGGAAGTGGTCTCATGTGCGAATGTGTTCAAGTGTACTTCCCACTTTCTCTTCTATGAGGCTCAATGTGGCTGGCTGTATGTTGAGGTCTTTGATCCATTTGGACTTGAGTTTTGTGCATGGTGATAGATATGGATCTATTTTCATTCTTCTACATGTTGATATCCAGTTATGCCAGCACCACTTGTTAAATATGCTTTCTTTTTTATTTGATATTTTTTGCTTTTTTGTCAAAAATCAGGTGTTTGAAAGTGTGTGGATTGATATCCAGGTCTTTAATTTGGTTCCATTGGTCCTCCTGACTGTTTTTATGCAAATACCAAGCTGTTTTCAGTACTGTAGCTCTGTATTAGAGTCAGGGATTGTGATGCCTCCAGAAATTCTCTTATTGTATAGGAATGTTTTGACTATCCTGGGTTGTTTGCTTTTCCATATGAAGTTGAGTACTGTTCTTTCAAGGTCTTTGAAGAATTTCGCTGGGACTTTGATGGACATTGCATTGAATCTGTAGATTACTTTTGGTAAGATTGCCATTTTTACTGTTAATTCTGCCTACCCAAGAACATGGGATATCTTTCCACTTTCTAGTGTCTTCTTCAATTTCTTTCTTCAAAGATTTAAAGTTCTTGTCATACAAGTCTTCCACTTGTTTGGTTAGAGTTACTCCGAAATATTTTATGCTATTTGTGGTTATTGGGAAGGGTGATATTTCTCTGATTTTTTTCTCAGCCCATTTATCTTCTGTGTAACGGACGGCTACAGTTTTTTTTTAGTTAATATTGTATTCTGCTACATTACTGAAAGTGTTTATGAGTTGTAGAAGTTCCTTGGTAGGATTTTTTGGATCACTTATGTAAACTATCATATCATCACCAAACAGTGAGAATTTGACTTCTTCTTTTCTGATTTGTATCGCCTTGATCTCTTTTTGGTGTCTTATTGCTCTAGCTAGGACCTCAAGAGCTATATTGAATAGATATGGAGAGAGTGGACAACCTTGTCTTGTTCCTGATTTCAATGGGATCGCTGTGAGTTTCTCTCCATTTAGTTTGATGTTGGCTGTTGGCTGTTGGCTTGCTGTATATTGCCTTTATTATGTTTAGGTATGTTCCTTGTATCCCTGCTGTCTCCAAGACCTTTATCATGAAGGGATGTTGTATTTTGTCAAAAGCTTTTTCAGCTTATAATGAGATAATCATGTGTTTTTTATTTTTCAGTTTGTTTATATGGTGGATTACGTTGAAGGACAGCATTTTTTTTAAAAAGAACCAATTGTATCCGTGTGTGCATGCAGAAGGGTTGGAATAACCTGATAACATCTGGTCTTCCCCCCACACACATTTTAGCAGTATTTTCCAGACACGAGTATTTTTTAAATTTTATTAACTTATTTTTTTCTTTTATATACCAATCCCACTTCCCCTTTCCTCTTCTCCTCCTTCCCCCCCACTCCCAATCTGCTCCTCAGAAAGGTTAAGGCTGCCCCTGGGAAGTCAACTAGGCCTGTCTCATCACATCACTAAGGCAGGATCAAGGCTTCCCACCCTGCCTGTGCCTAGGCTGAGCAAGGTATCTCTCCATAGAGAATATGCTCCACAAACTCAGCTCATGCCTTATGGTTAGATCCTGGTCCCACTGCCAGTGGCTTCACACACTGCCTGAGTCACACCACCGACACCTGTCTTGGTAGAGTCGTTTTGATTTGCATTTGATTGCTAAGGATGCTGAACATTTCTTTATGTATCTTTCAGTCATTTGAGAGTCTTCTGTTGAGAATCTCTGTTTAGATCTGTACCCCATTTTTAATTGGTTTATTTGATGTTTAGTTTTTTGTTCTTTATCTATTTTGGAGATCAGCCTCTGTCAGATGTGAGGTTGATAAAGACTGTTTCCCATTCTGTAGGCTGTTTTGTGTAGTTGCCTTATAGTAGCTCCTCAGTTTCAGGAGCTCCCATTTATTCTTTCTCTCAGAGTCTGTGCTACTAGTGTTATATTTAGGAAGTGGTCTCCTATGCCCATGAGTTCAAGGCTACTTCCCACTTTTTCTTCTATGAGGTTCACTGTGATTGGCTTTATGTTGAGGTCTTTGATTCATTTGGATTTGAGTTTTGTGCATGGGGATAGGTATGGGTCTATTTGCATTCTTCTATGTTTTGCCATCCAGTTACACCAGCACCATTTGTTGAAGGTGCTTTCTTTTTTTTCCATTTTATATTTTTAGCTTTTTGTCAAAAATCAGGTGTTCAATATCCAGATCTTTGATTCGATTCTATTGGCCTACCTGTCTGTATTTATGCCAATTCCAAGCTGTTTTCCTTACTGTAGCTCTATAATAGAGCTTGATGTCAGGGATGGTGATGCCTCCAGATGTTACATAATTTATTGTACAGAATTTTTTGGCTATCCTGGATTTTTTGTTTCTCCATATGAAATTTAGAATTGTTCTTTCGAGGCCTGTGAAGAATCGTGCTGTGATTTTGATGGGATTGCATTGGATCTATGGATTGGTTTTGGTAAAGTTGTCATTTTTTTTTTTTTTTTGGTTTTTCGAGACAGGGTTTCTCTGTGGCTTTGGAGCCTGTCCTGGAACAAGCTCTGTAGACCAGGCTGGTCTCGAACTCACAGAGATCCGCCTGCCTCTGCCTCCCGAGTGCTGGGATTAAAGGCGTGCGCCACCATCGCCCGGCTTAAAGTTGTCATTTTTATTATGTTGATCCTACCTATCCGAGATCATGGCAGATCTTTCCATTTTCCGTTATCTTCTTTGATTTCGTTCTTCAGAGATTTAAAGTTCTTGTTATACAAGTCTTTCACTTGTTTGGTTAGCGTTACTCCGAGATATTTTATGTTGTTTGTGGCTATGGTGAAGGGTGCTATTTTTCTGAGTTCTTTCTCAGCTATTTATCAGTTATATATAGGAGGGCTACTGATTTTTTTGAGTTAGGTTGTATCCTGCCACATTATGAAAGGTGTTTATCAGCTGTAGGAGTTCTCTGGTAGTTTTGGGGATCACTTTTGTACACTATCTTATCACCCGCAAGTCATGAAGGTTTCACGTAGACAGAGACTGTGCTTGGTTTCCAGGCCTCCCAG